GATTATTGTAACCTGGATTAAAAGTGTGGATCATTGTAACCTGGATTAAAAGTGTGGATCATTGTAACCTGGATTAAAAGTGTGGATTATTGTAGTGAAGCCTTCGTCTTCAACCATGGACAGAGGCCTTGTGTCAGTGACCATCATGTTCAGGATGTTTCAGTGAAGACAGCTGCTGCTGTGGTGTCCATGATGTCTGTCCATCATGAAGGATGTTGTTGTTTGTTGTTGTTTTCTGGAATGAGACAGTAAATATGTTTTATATTATAATTTACAGCAACTCAAGAAATGCCTTGTTTCACTTACAGTGTTAGATTCAGGCAAAAGTAGCTAAAAGAGCAATTAAACACACACACACACACACACACACACACACACACACACACACACACACACACACACACATATATAAAATACTTAATTACACACATTTGAGTAGATGTAATAAATTACTTTAATTCCTGTTTAAATGCAAATCATCCTGCCATACCTGCAGTGTCTTCAGACTTTGCCAACAAATTAAAAGTTGAAGCTTAACCATTAAATTATTCTCTTTGTGTTAGATTTATTAATAAATCACATTTAAACACTGCGTGTACCAATTAAATAAAATAAAAAGTAACACACAGGTTCTCTATCACGTCATTAATCAGATAAACAAACAAACAAACAGCTTCATCTTCAGACAGACTGACGTTACGTTTTCTCTCTTGAAACAGAACAATGTGTTAAATTGTAGAGACTCACCTGCAACACATGAAGAGTTGTATCAGCTGCAGCTCCTTCCTCCTCCTCGTGACTCCGACATGTTTACGTTTTATCTCCGTGGTTCTCTCGTGTCGTGTCGGTGATTTTCAAAGCTGCATGTTTCTCAGTTTTTATCTTTGTGAAGTTCTCCCACACTTTGGAGGACTTGGGTCGAACAGTTTTCTCTGCGTCGGTCATTTGTAAAATTTACTTAAATTTCCTTTGACAACACTCTGCTCTGCTTCCTCCTCCCCCCTCGCTCTGTTCAACTCGCGCTGCAGTTTTTTTTTTCAAACTTTATTCAGTCAGTCAGCATTGACAATGAACTGCAGAAGAACAAAACGAAACGACTCCGCAGCGCCGTGAAAGATGCATAATCGCGCGACACAACGAATTGATAACGAAATTCGTTGCCAACGCTTTTAATCATCGATTTTTATCGATTTTATCGATTCGTTGTTGCAGCCCTACTGTAAACCTTCTTTTCTTTACCTTCCTCTTTTTATTTATGTTTGGGGTTGTGATTCTGTTTTCTGCAGCACTCACTGATCTCCTCTCCTCAGGCTGCATGTGGGTTTAAGGTTGTCTTCTCTCCAGCACACTCTGCACTGATTACCTCATTAAATGCACCTGTCGCTTCACCCTTTATAAACCTGACCTGCACACAGGGTGAGTGCCAGATAGTCGAACACAGTTTTCCTGCAAGTAGTTATCCAGCGCTCATAGTTTCCGGTTTCCCTTGTAGTGTTTTGTTTCTTTTTCTTAGTTCCCCTCCTGTCCAGTTTTGTTTTTGCATTCCTTGCTCCTGTCCCGCTCCTTGGTTCATGTATCCTGGTGCTGACTTCTCGTTCTGGGACTTCCGCTCGCCTGACTTCGCCTCTAGACCGCTCCTCACCGGATCTACGCCTCCATTCATCGGCACCGACCTACGCCTCCTTCACACTGCCTCCTCGCCTGCTCCTGCTTGGGACTGACGCTCTTCTGATCTCCGGTTTCGACCCTCGCCTGATTGACTTCGCCTCATGCCTCACGGACCAGTGTGTCGTCTCCTCCCATCCATCCTCGAGCTCTTCACTGCAGCTGGCTGTCTCCTCTCACCAGGACCATCCCCCCTGCAGCGATCCCACCGTGCTGGAACGTCTCAGCTCCTCTGAACCCCCTCCTGACAGAGTAACGGTTAGTGGTTTCCGTATCCTGACTTTTGCTTTTGCTTCTGTCTCCTGTCGGGCCACTAACCGTTCTCTCCCTGTCCTTAGACTTGTTCCAGTCGTTTACCCTGAGACCGACACCAGAGCCAGGTTCACTTTGAGAGGCAAGGCCCCACCAAGAAAATAAACTTTTTAACCTGAGTCTTGGTGTTTGTGGTGATTTTGGTCCAGACATTTGGGGGTTCGTTACAGAGGTCTAGTATTATAGTAGAAGTCTAGTATTATAGTAGAGGTCTAGTATTATAGTAGAGGTCTAGTATTATAGTAGAGGTCTAGTATTATAGTAGAGGTCTAGTTATATAGTAGAGGTCTAGTTATATAGTAGA